AATTATCCTGTGTTTTCTCCTAGTGTTTTTACTTTATTTTTCATGTTTAAATGTTTGATCTATTTGACATTTATTTTGGGTTAAGAAGTGATTTGGGGAGTTGCTCTTTCCCCCCAGATGGCTAACTCATTGTCATAATACTCTTTATTGAAAAGAAGGTATTTTTTCTCACTGATTGAAATGCTGTTACATAATACATTTTCAAAGGTATTTAAATCTATTTCTAGACTCGCTATTCTTTTCTGTCTGTTTTATGCACCTGGACCAAATTATTTTAATTAATACAGCTTTATAGTTCCCTAGAATGAGCTTTATTCATTCAAGAAATATTCTATTGATATATTATTAAGATTATATAAAATTTATAGGTCGATTTAGGGTGAAGTGACATCTTTACAATACTCAACCCTCCTTTCAAGAACAGAGTTGTCTTTCCGTTTATCTGAGTGTTTCATTCACATCCCTCGATCGTGCCTTAAAGTTATTTATTTATTTTTTTTGTAGATTCTGGAGCTTTTAAAGTTTATTCCTAGGTATTTTATCTTTTTAAACTCTTCTTTATAAATGAAATTTTTTTCTTTCATTATGTATTCTAATTGGGATATTTGTATACAGAAAGCTATTGTCTGTATATAAAATTTAAATACTTTACTAAATTCTCTTTTTCTAGTACCTATTAGATTGGAAAAAAGCAAAATGCTGCCAGAAATATGGGGTAAATCTCCATCCTCATAAACTATCATTAGGTAGGTAAATCGGTACAAACTCCATATAGTCTCCCCACAATTTCCATGTACATAAGTTTGACCCCAAAATTGCCATTCTAGAAACATATTCAAGAATTTATCCTCTTGGATTTCCTAGGTATAATCACATAATGTACAAATAATCATTATTTTGCCTTCCTCTTTCCAATTTTACCCACCCCATTTTTTGTGGTAGTGATGGTAGATATTTTATTTTAATCCAGACTTTAATGGGAATGATTTGATAATTCACTATTATACATGATGATGACTTTTTCTTTATATGCTTTAAAAATCATATGAAAGATGCATCTATTTTCTTATATTTTAATAGTTTATTTTTTTCAACCGAGACTGAATGATGTTTTTATCCAATACATTTACCAGCATCTTTGAAGATGATTAGTATATTGTTTTTCTTTGTAGGTACGTAAGTCTAGTGAGTCCCTAATGTTGAACTATCTTTGCATTTTAAATCTTGGCGTATTATTCTTTTAGTAAGCTGCAGATCCTAAGTGCTGATATTTTATTCAGAATTTTTGCATTACTATTCATATCAGAGATTTACTCTCTCTCTCTCTCTTTTTTTAATTGTGCTATCTTTGTCAGATTTTGGTACAAAGTTTTGTTTTGATGGCTTTGTAGAAAGAAGTTGGAAATAATCTTTTAAGACCGAGCAATTGAAGCAGCACTAGAGTTATCCATTCTTCGAAGGTTCGGTAACTTTCCTTTGTGTAACTTTCCTCTGGGTCTTTTACGTGTTGGGTCTCTAGCTCTTTGACTCCCTCCTAAATTTCTTCTAAAATTAGTGTATTTTTAAAAAATGTAGCAGTATATGGTTCCACATGTGATGCAAATGCATTACGATAAATGAATGTCTATAGAAAAATTAATGTATTTAGACTCTTCTTCCTGTGTCAGCTGTGATTATATTTCTCTAGGAAATTATCTATTTCATCCCAATCGTCACCTCCACAAGAAATTAAAGTCTTCATGATGATTCTTTGAATGATCCCTTTTATTATTTCCCTGATATTTTGCATCTACAGTATTCTGTTTCCTTCTTTCTTTATTAGATTATCTAATGGTATATGTATTTTATTATCTTCAGACTCTCATTTTGAATTCATGGGGCTGTTTCCACTTTTGCAGCCAATGGAAACCTTATGAATGAGAATCCGTCTTCCCCTCCTGGAAAAGGCTGGCGTGAGTGCAGGAGACATGGGGGTGGCTCTGGAGAGAGTGGTCAGAATGCATAAGAAAGTCTGAGAGAACCCAGGACAGATGGACAGACTTTCTGATGCCACAGTCTGAGGCCCGACCTAACAGATGACAATTAGCAGCCACCAGCTGTAAAGTGACTATAAATACTGCTTTGAATACAATAAGTCTTTTTTTTTTTTTAAACGCATTAGCAAAACATTTTAAAATCCAGCAGTGGATGTTTGTTGGCAGCCCAGAGGCTGTGTGCCACCAGGGAGGGGCTGGTTATTTGCCACGGATGGAAAAGGGCTTGCTTGGTGTCCTCTCTCCAGCTAGAGCAAGAAGGGAAGCGGATCCATTCAGAGTTGCTAGTTTCCTGCTGCTTGATCTTGAACAAGTTCCCTTCCTCTCCTTGGTCATCATTTTCCCCATCAGTAACTGGCCTCCCTGCTTCCATTCTTGGCTCCCTTCCAACTTCCACCCTGCGGCCATTCTCCTACATCGTCCATAGGAGTGGTCTTCAAAAAAATGTGTATTTCTTCGAATTCATCCCCTGCATCAAAATCCTCCTCTGTCGACCCACAGCAATGGGAGTAAAACCCTAACCCCTTAAGGTGTATAAGACCATCCAGTAGGGTTCGACGCCACGGGGCGCCCACCCACTTCTCCAGCTTTTGGATAAATCAGGATAACTCACATCACACATCCTAAAAGCTAAAAATTGCCACCAACAAGACTTTTCCTGTTATTGTCCCTTAGATAAAGACTGTCTTTGCTTATAGATCTAAAATGTTTTTGGGGGCAAGTGCCGCGCTCTCTTTCATATATACATCTTCCGGAGTTAGAGTATATTAAAATGGCTGCAATCGTATTTCTGTCCAACATCCCAAGAGAAAAGGGAAAGTATTATTAGTCTAAGGATTTTGTCATATAGTCCTTTCTATAATAAGGACAGTGGTTATTAAGACACTTATAGTTGTCGTGGATGCTACCATTGTCTTCTCATCCCTTTACTTCAGTTCACACCTGCCTGACTTCCAGCACTTACCTATCTTTACCTGAAAACTTTCTCTGACTTGAGATGTTCATTGGCCCCTGAAGCCCATGTGGCACACTGAAGTACCAGGGACATAATGTCCCTCGGACCCCCCTTCCGCTGGGGAGCAGCCCTCTACCAATGGCTGATGGGAACTGGTGGATACGTACCCTGGCCTCCCCCGCATTCGGGTGGGATAACGCTGAGGTGTGTCCTCCTCTCCTTACAGAGTCCCCGGAAGGACTGAGCTCCACGTCCCCACAGTTGTGACTGGCTCAGAATACATCCTCTTTGGCTGCCCTAGTTCTCTGTCTCAATTCCCACTCCCTACCTGTGTTTCCTGGGATCATCCCACAAATAAACAACTTGAACTTGAATCCTTGTCACAGGGTTTGTTTCTAGGGGAACCCAAATGCGATAGCATTATAATGATTGCCCATTACCAAAAAGGCATTATACTGTACGTGCTGTGTGTCGTGTGATTTGCTAACAGATAGATGCACACCTCCAGGGGTCTTCACGTGTATCCTGACTGAGAAACTCCGCATTCAGAGATCACTCAGAAGGCCTCTGATGATACCGTTGTCATGTAGCTTTAGGTGTTTTGCGCTTTTTGTCCCCTGGGAGCCATCAGAGGGCAGGAAAGCTGGTTCTCTGCTCTCTCCCTTTATAAAATCTGCTGTCGACCTGGGGTGTCAGGAGCCTATGGAACTGATACAACAGAATTGCATGGTGGGACAGTCAAGAGAGGATTCATCACCCAGCAGGACTTTTCCGTACAAACCCAGGCCAAGACTCTAAAAACTCGACATTCGAAAGTGTCCCTCTCATTCGGGGGTGTGGCCTTCTTCTCCCCCAAATTTACTCAGTGCCATATTCTCCTTCTTGTGCAGGTGTCATGTCACCTGGTATGCCAGGGGTTAATTGACCCACTGCCTGAGGACTCAATGGGTTATTCCATATTTATTTCAATTACATAAGTATACTGGGCCAGTGTATTTATTTTAAATCACATTATCTACAGCTTCCCAAGCATGTGTCAACAAAAAGAACGGTTTCAATTTAGTAGACTTTGAAATGGTGTGCAGTTTATCCTCACTTCAATTATACTCTCTACAGTAAGTCACGGGCAGCTCAGGATTATTCAGGGCCAGGTAATGCTATCTGAAGGCATTGATTTTTCCTTCTCTTCAAGAACAGTTCACTGAAGGATGCACTGGAGTCTCCTTTAAGGACACACACAAATACATTTCTCAGTGGCACCTTCTGAGGAATCTATCTTAGGGACTCTGGATCAGGCTGCTGGAGAAGTCTCTAACCTTTAAAGAAAGCTGGTTGCAAAGGAGTGACCATAGCAGGAACCACGTTTCCCAGCTTGAAGTGATGGGGGAACAAACGAAGAGGCGAGCGCCCAGATTCCCGCACTCTATCTGCTTATAAATTGACAAGTATTTGTCGGCCACCTATTATCTACCAAGTCCTGTGCTGGCATTTGGGGATACAGTGTGAGGAAGAAAGACCAGAGCCAGCTTCATGAGCATGTGACCTGTGCCGTTCCCAAGGCCACAGGCTTAGGAGGATCCTATGCTTGGTTTAATGTTCTGTCGCTGTCTTGAAATTCTTTATAATTTTCAAACAAGAGTCCCCACATTTTCAGTTTGCACTGGGCCTGTGAAATCCATAGCCAGACCTAATAAATACAGTCATTTCTGCTCTCAGGGAGCTTAGAGTTTAGTGGGGGTGACAGACATGACCTAATGACATAAGCTGCTCATTCTGGTTGTGATGAGGGCTACTGAGGGACAGGTATGGGATGCTTAGAAGCTGTGTAACGGAGGGCCCTAGTAGTCTGGAGTCAAAGAAAGCACCTGAAAGAAGAGCCATTGAAGTAGACATCTGAAAGATAGATTATGCGGACATGTGAGCTCTCTAGGGGGATCACTCTGGGTGGAGGGAACAGCAAGGGCAGAGGCCCCCAGGCGGGAAGGAGCTTGACCTGTTAGAATTGACAGCGAGTGCTCGCTTCGGTAGCACGCATGCCACAGTTCGAATGATACAGAAGAGGTTAGCATGGCCCCTGTGCCAAGATGACACGCAAATTCATGAAACGCTCCATATTAACCAAACAAACAAAAGAATCAATGGGGGAGAAGCATAGCGAGCACGAGAGTGAATGAGGTAGGATTCTCTCTCTGGCAAAGGCACCAAGATCTGGATGGACTATGATCAGATTTATCAGTTCGCCAGTTGGTAACTTGAGGTGACTCACAGAGTCCTTTCTGTTCGTGTCCCGTGACTGCCATCTGGTCCGAGAATTAACGCGGCCTCTTAGTGCTGTGATTCTTTGGAATAGGGTAGGTATCTCACAAACATGTCAGTCTCTCGAAACATTATTCATTCTAAGGTACTTAAATTTAAATGATATATAAATAATATTATTGAGCATTTATTTAACAATCTAGAATGAAGACATCAGCCACAAAGTCACCCAAAGCCTTGGCAATGTTTAGTCTGAATAACGTGGGTGAATTCGTCATGCCCCTCCATGGGAAATAAATCATTTTATTCTTCTTTGTTCTTTATCTACCTCTTTGACACTTAAAAGCAGGAGTTCCCTAGACTTTGACCTTGCGGAATCTGGATATCCCTCTGAAGGCTCATTCGGGTTGTGGTAGAGTAGGACAAGCTTTCAAGTTTCCTCTCTCATAGCTGTAGAGCAGTGGTCCCCAACCTTTGTGGCACCAGGGACTGTGCTCCTATGGGAATCTAATGCCTGATGATCTGAGGTGGAGCTGAGGCGGTGATGCTGGCGCTGGGGAGCGGCTGCAAACACAGAGGAGGCTTAGCTCACTGGCCCATGGCTCACCTCCTGCTGTGCAACGGGTACCAGTCCATGGCCCCTGGGCTGGGGATCCCTGCTGTGGAGAACTGTTCTATTAATGTCTCTTTACAGGTGAGTGGGGGACTCCATGCTGTTTGCAATGGGACAAAATTAAATCTTAGAACATTGACTTGGCTGAAACACTTGTAGTCTGAGGTCTTGAGGAATGGTGAAGCTGAGCCTGCTGGGGGAACAGAGAACCTCCAGCGATGAGTATTTAAATAGTCCCTTAAATCACATTTTAAAGGACAGTCCATATGTTTACTGAATTGATTTCTCTGGACAAACAGAAGAAAAATGTAAAATAAAAGACTGGGAAACAAATGACCATCATCCGGTGGCGTTTTTATGATGGTGTCCTGTTGACGCCTCGCTTTATGTCCTGGTTAAAAATTTCAAGCAGACTTGACAGAGAATCATGAGCGTAGAAGATAACTTTGGGCTCAGTGACAGTAGCAGGATTTAAAAAAAATGTTTTATCTCTTTTAGTCTATTAAAACGAGTTACATTTATGGATTTTGTAATATTAAACCATTCTTGTACTTCTGAGATTAATCCAGTTTGGGGTTGTGGTTGTGTGGATTTTTTTTTCTTTTTACCATTTTAACCACATTTAAGTGTTAAAATGTGAGCTCAGCTGGGTCGAAAGCACTCAGTGATCAGTGGCTGTTGCCACACAGTGTCCACTTGGTGATGAGAACCACCAAGTGGACACTGTGTGGGGAAAACTCATGCCTTTCGGTGGTCCCTTGCAAAGTACGGTCTGCTGGGACAAGTGCTTCTTGCTAATAAAAAGATGGAGATGCCTAGAATGTCGGAGGTGGAGGGCAGCTTGGTGGCACCTCGAGTGTCTGATCACTGATGTCACCTGGGGAACGTTCTGATGCAGCTTCCTGGGCTCCACTCCAGACCTTTGACTCTGAATCTCCAGGGACATTTTTAAAAATTGGAGATGGTTTTGAGGAGCCGTCATGCTGGGCACCTCCTCCTTGCCCACTCATATTTTAATACTTTAGGTGGTTGGTAAACACCTCCCTACCCATCTGTCGATTTAAAGCTTTTGTATAAACTGGACTTTTGCTTTATTTTAGTTTAAGAACTGTGAGGCTGAGGAAAGAATCATCAATTTTTCAGAAACCCAGAGTTTTTGGGAAAGGAAACTTTCCTCTTAAAAAGTAATTATGGCAATGTCATAAAAAGGTGAAAGATTTTCGAGGCGAGTCAGACATAAAAATCACATTTTGCAAATTGTACTCGGAAAGAATTATTTTAATTGAAGTAGTTATTCCCAAGCCTAAATCCCAAATGTTCCCGTAACCTCAGAATGTTCTCTTCATCCTTGTCAACTGCTTTCTCCTCTGGTATGGCCTAAATATGCCACTTAAGTAAGAACTACTTAACGGGAGCTACTTGGGGACGACGCATATGAACGCTGAGAGGTGAACCCGTGCAGAGAACCTGGTAATAATCATGGCAGACCAGCAGGCAGATCGTTCTGGGCCCACGAAATCTTTTGCATTTCCTTCTTTGTCTGAGTGAAAGGCTGTCTTTCCAAAGAAGAAAATCTCTCTCCGGCATCCTTGAAGGCAGTCCTGTGCATTGGCTTTATTCATTCACTCCACAAATATTTATGAACATGCCTGCCATATGCCAGGCACTCTGGAACTAGGGATGAATTGGTGAATCACACTGACACAGTCCCTACAAAGTCTGAGCTTAAAATTGCAAGGAAAGATAGACTTTGTAGGGGTAATCGCAGGCGTGAATCACGTAACGGAAAGAGGGGCAGAGGACACTCCGATAGCACGACCCGACACTGTGAGTTAGAAGCGAGGGCGGAAAAGGTCGTTTTGAGTGATGAGTCAGTGGCATTTGTCCCCTAGTGTCGTCAAGTTGGAATATATGAAGAACTAATATGGGCGACGTCCGCGATACTTACACGACTAGGTGACGAGTGTCATCGGTCTGATGACAAATAACTGATTGGTCCATTTTGACATGCATGAACTAGAACCATTGTGTGAGTACAGGTGGTGTGACTTTTTCCACATGTAAAAATAAATTTTAATCCCGGGAAGCAACGATGGGAAACTCAGTGAGGGGGTTATGGCAACGGGCAGCAGGGCCCTGAGCCCAGAAGAGGGACCATGAGCGTGAAGAACACGTGGTGGTGTAACGTTTTTAGAGTGTTCACCAGACGTGTGTGTTTTTTTTTTTTTACATTTCTCTCCAGCACTTGGTACTTCTCCATTCCATCAGCCAGAGTCTCCATCTTCACCATCTTAGCAAAAATTCAGAGAAAAGAGTCTCTTCTTGGTTTTGAGTTTCAAAAGCCTAGGCCTTAGAGGAACAGGAAGGGTTCGAATTGTGTGAGAGGAAAACTCCTGGCCCCTGAAGCCAGCGAAGCCTTCCCAGGTGTGGGGGCCGTACCTGCTTGCTTGGAGACCCATTTCCCACCCTCCTGCCGCTCTGCTTTGCACGTCAGACTTGACCGTGGCAGCCGTTCCCAGACTCTGTGGCCCGTCCGGCCTCTCTGGGGGATTCTCGAAGGCAGGGCGCAGGCGTTGTGTCCTCGGAGGGGGAGAGGGAGGAGACGTCAGGGCAGTTCTCCCTATTTTCTCTGCTTCCGGTGGCCGCCGAAGGTTCCAGCTCCCTCTCTGGTTCCAGCCTGGAGGGAACCTCTGGGCTCTGGGAACGCTGCCTCCTCCCTTTGTCCCTTTGTCCCTGCAGCTCTCCAGGTCACCTCATTGCTTCCCGAGGGCCCTGTCAACTTTCCTAACACCTTCGTGACTGGTTCTCCACATGAGAGGCTCTCGAAGCGGCTTCAGGTCTGTTTTCTTGCCCGGATGCTGACTGATGCTCTGAGGTGTCAGGAGGGGCCCGAAGGACCCGTCCAAACCAGGCAGGGTTGTCTCTTTAAGACACTGCTGGCCTCTGTTTGAGCACCGTGGGCCGCAGCGGGAGTCAGCATCCTGAGGTCGTTGTTCTTACCCTTGGCAGCCGAAAAGACGCCTCTTGGCTAGTAGCCACAGTGACCTCTTTCGTGCCCCCAAACTTGGCTCTGTGTCGTGATGGGAACCAACATTTTACCTCCCCCAAATGTGCCATTTGGAATATTGATTTTCATCTGGTTATTAAGAAATGAAAGACTCAGAATCTTTGGCCCTCCCCTTTCCTCTGGGTGGGTAGGTGATTCGGGTGGCAAGGCCCGCCGGGAAGGCAATCTTAGCATAATCACCTGGAGGGTTTTCACTTTAGCCTGGTGTGAATTGAGTATGGCGGCTGGAAGGACTCATGCAGGAACCTGCTCTGCTGGATTCTCTCCTTCGTCCCATTGTTTCTGGGTAGCCGAGCAGGAATTTGTCTGCCTCATGCTTCTGCTCTGTCTTTCCTACCTGTGAAATGCCCACTTCCCCATCGAAATCCCAGACCCCTGCCCCCTCCCATCTCCTTTGTCCAAAATGGCATATGAACCTCAACTGCCCAACACCAGTTTTGGGTTTTTAATGTCCTCATGGACTCCCCAAATATACGTTCATATAATAAACTTTGAACATTTTCTCCTGTCAATCAGTCTCTGTTAATTTGATTATTAGCTCCGCTAGAACTTAGAACACGGGGAGAAAGTTATTTTTATTTATCCCCACACTGACAATTCCCATTCAAGCCTTCCAGGACATTCCTAAGTCCTCAAGACCGAGGGTGGGTGCTAAAAAAATAATTTTTTCCTCCCACCTTCGAAATTCTTCTAGCTGAGCTAATCATCATATTACCAGAGCTCAAGTAACAGGAGAAAATGTACAAAGTTTATTACAGATGTGCATGCCGGGGGCGTCATAAGATATGAGACCCCAAACCCCTTGGCTAGTTGAGGTTTATGTGCCATTATGGACAGAGGGGAAAGGGGGCAGGGCTCCGAAGTTTCGAAGAACATTTACAGGTGGCTGAGGAAGGGCAGAACACATGAGGCAGGTGAATTCCTGCTAAGCAACCCAGAAACAATGGCGGGGGCAGCGAGAGGCGGGTCCAGCTGACAGGCCCTTGCTCAGAGCCTTCATATTCACTAAGGTGAAGGTGAGAGTCTCTTCTTGGAGTAGGCCGTTTTGTCTGAATCTTTGGGGCAGGAAAGGGAGAGGGTCAAAGGTTCTTTCTGAGTCTTTTGTTTCTTAATAACCAGCTTAAAGTCGGTATCCCAAAAGGTACGCTTTTCAGATGGTAAACCTTTGGTCGCCTTCAGCATC